GGGGAAATTATGTATGTTTGGGGCACCCATTCTCCTCTTTGACCTTGGAGAAGTAATGTTTCACCAAAAATAAAGGATCTACATTTGGTGAGAAGATTAGGAACTAAAATAAGACACCTGTGTTGGCGAATGTCACAGGCATCCCCCACTGCCAGCCCTCGGACGCTCTGTTTGGGGTGAACTCTCTTGTTGGGGTCCTTTCATGCTGTGTGTGTCCTTCCAGCTCTCTAGGGTGTGGGTTTTGATTTTTTTTCTGCTGGGGATTGGATATCACCCTCTTGTAAGGCTCTTAATAGGATTGAAGACATGCTAATCTCATGTTTAAAAGCTTGTAAGGCAATGGCAAAGTTACTACCACTACAACATAGATATCAATGAACTCAAATTAATGTGAAAACTCTAATCTGTTATTATGTAAACTATTATATTAGATACGAACTCTGTTTCTCCTGAGTTTCACGTACAGTTGTGAGAACATGAAACACAGAGTCATAACACCATTGTAATGATCATAACCTGCATATATTTTTCCATCAAATAATGTGCACCTACTTTTGCCCACTCCTATATTTTCTCAGGTGTTATTGTTACCCTTCCAAGTCTAAGTCCCCATTCTGTAGTCTTTCCGATCGTATATAAAAATGTTCGTCATGGTGTGTGCATCTTTGAAGTTCAAAATTTGAGTAATCAGTTGCTGTTGAGACTAAAATCGGTTTATAAGGTTTGTTTTCAAGTTTGGTAAACAGAGACCTTAACCTCTTAACGTCATATGTAATAGTCTTGGGCAAAAACAAGCTGACCCAAAGACATTTTATAAGCTGTACTGGGGTGTGTCTCCTCAGAAACCTCTATGTTAATTAACTTACGTGATGAGGGTGGACTCAGTGGTGCTAACAGACTTCCACAAGTCGGTGTCATTACTCGGTAGACATTTGTTTCCTGCTCACTTGCTAGTCCTGAGAGGATGTTCAAGTTGTGTTCGCTATTTTTCAGAGGGTCATTCAGGGACCCATACATTTTCCATCGTGTGCTACCCTTAGGACTTTATCATCATGGACATCCCACCGGAAGACCTAAAAAGAACCCAGAGGTGCCCAGGAGAAGTTTCATGTGCCAGGCACATTCATCACTTTCAGTCATACCCAAGTTGGCAAGAACCCAAACATGGTCATAGCTAACAGCAAAGGAACCTGGAAAATATAACTTAGAGGTATTTCTGGGGAAAAGAGAATAGTTTTGTTGAAATCTCTCCCGTACTAATAAAGGAGAGAGTGACACTGACAAGATAGACATTTGTGAAGATTTTGTTTTCAGAAGTTGGTGTTAAGACTGATTTTCAAAGTACATCTGACTCTGAAGATATAAATTTTTAGGCAGGTTTATCCTCATGTATTTAAGGAAGTGGAGGAAGGCACTCTTGATGTTTGTGGCTTGACTCAATTATGCTTGGACTTAGCAGAAAAGAGAGAATTCACAAGGCATCAAAGAATCAGGACCCAAATTGGAGACATGGTATCTGCAATTTATTTTTACAATTAATGTATGATTGACGTATTATAGTAGTTTAAAGTGTACAACATAATTGTATATATTGTAGAATGATCACCATAATCAGTCTAATTAATGTTCATCACCATAAACAGTTACAATTTTTCTTGTGATGAGACCTTTTAACATCTGCTCTCTGAAGCAATTGTCAAGTATGCAACACAGTACTAACTATAGTAACTATGCTGTACATATCATCCTCATGACTTATTTACTTCCTTCATACCCCCCACCTCTGCCTCTGCCTCTCACAGCCACCAATCTGTTCTCTGTATCTTTCAGCTCATTTTTGTTAGATACCATATATTAATGAGATCATATAGTGTTTGTCTTTCTCTTTCTGACTTATTTCACATTGCATAATTCCCTTAAGGTCCATCCATGTTGTTGAAAATGGCAATATTTCCATGTATGGCTGACTAATATACATATCTACAGATCATACTTTCTCTTTCCATCCATCTTTTAATGGACCCATGTCTTGGTTATGGTAAATAATGCTGCAACAGACATGGGGCTGCATGTATCTTTTTGAGTTAGTGTTTTCATTTTCTTCAGATAAATACCAGAGGTGGAATTACTGGGTCATATGGTAGTTCTATTTTTAATCTTGTGGCGAGCCCCTATACTGTTTCCATAGAGGCTAAACCAATTTACAGTCCCGCCAACAGTGTATGAAGATTTCCTTGCTTCCACATCCTCGACAAAGCTTATTAATTCTTGTCCTTTTTATGACAGCCATTCTGACAGGTGTGAAGTGAACTCTCTGGTCTTGATTTGCATGACTGATGATCAGTGATGCTGAGCGCCTTTTTCATGTATCTGTTGACCATCAGTATTATTGTTTTTGGGGGGAGAAATCTCAGATTCTCTGCCTGTTTTTATAATTGACTGGCTTGCTTACTTATTTTTGTATTGAGTTGTATGAGTCATTGATATATTTTAGATATTAAACCCTTATCAGATATCTGACTTGAAAATGTTTTCCCATCGGCACATTGCCTTTTCTTTCCGTTGATGGCTCCTCTGCAGTACAGAACCCTTTCAGTTTGCTGTCGCCCCACTTCTTTATGCTTGCTCTTGTTGCCTTTGCTTTTGGTATCAAACTCAAAAAATCATGACCAAGAAAATGTCAAGAAACTTACCTCCTAAGTTTTCTTCTGGGAGTTTTGTGGTTTCTGGTCTTACCTTCAAGTCTCTAATCCACTCTGAGTTCATTTGTGAGTATGGTTTCAGAGAGACCAGTCCTATTCTTTTGCTTGTGGCTGCCCTGTTTTCCCAGCAGTGTTTATTGGACGGTCCTTTCCCCATTGTATGCTCTTATATCCATGGTTGTAAACTAACTGGCCATTTAAGTGTGGGATTACTTCTGGCTCTCTGTTCTGTCTCACTGACTTCTGTGCCAAAGGTCGCTAGCACAGCGCTTTAAATAGGGAAATGTATGATGTAGTTTAAAATCAGGGAGTACAATATCTCCAGCTTTGTTCTCCTTTCAGAAGATTGCTTTTGGATAATTGGGTTCTTTTGCAGAGTCATACAAATTTTAGGATTCTTTGCTCTACTCTGTAAATAAATATGTTTTAAAAAATTAGTTTACTTACATAGACACATTTGTGTAATTAAAATTAAGTGTGCACGAAGTTTAATTTCACAGAAAGATTATATGTGTGTGTGTGTGTGTGTGTGTGTGTGTGTGTATATAAAACTTTAAATCTATACTGAAAGGTCTAGTGAATGCATGCATTCACCAGTCACAGTGAGTAAGTAAATGCGCACGGCTGGGGTGTGACTCAGAGCCATGGGAACATCAGCCAGTGGGAGTTACAACTGTTGCAGAAAGTCGTGCTGTGCAGCAGCAAGACCAGACCTAGAGCGATGCCCATGATCACGTGCTCATCATTCCCCAAACACTGTTTACAAGTAGTGACTCTTGGATTTAAATATGTAGACGATAGTTGTAGATGTGTAATAGTTATGTCCGTGAAATTACTACCATGTTTCCCCAACTTATGACCTATTTGTTAAAACTTATTAAAACTAACAGTGAACTAATAATGAAAAATAATCTGTTGACTTAATCATAAGCAAATCTTGGTTAAAATCACTTTAGAATTAACATATGACATATGGACTTGAAATTTTGTCCATTAAATCCAAAAACCATGAAATCAAGGTCCAAAAAAATGGAGGGTTTTTATCTTTTAAAACTTTTTGTATTATCTTTTAAAACTTTTAGTTTTGACCAATGTTAATACATAAGTACGCACTGATGTTTGCTGAACAAGCTACTTACTGTAATGACAATTGTTATTAGCAACATGCATGTATGTTTAACATGCATGTATGTTTAACATGCATGTATGTTTAACATGCATGTGTATTTAACATGCATGTATTTTTGCTGTTGAGCCTCTGTCCCTGCAAGCTCATGAGTGCACATCCACATCGGCAAGAGGGCTGGCTGGTCCTTGTTTGGGATTCTGTTGCTGATGAAACAGGAGAGGGAGACCAGGCATGCAGAGGAGATGGGGTCAGAGGCTTAGCTTCCATCAGCGCGAGCCTCAGGTCCATGGGAGGGAAGAGGAAGAAGCACATCATAAATACAGACTTGCATGCTGGCCATTTGCTGCCTTATCTATCCAATTACAGGCTCACTTGTGCTAATACTATAACACTTAGCAATTGTGGTCAGCCTTACAGACGTGAACACTGGAAAATCACTGGCGTAAAAAAAATATCAGATGTGGTTGATCGGGAGGGATTTTTTTCTTCCATTTCACTGAGAACAGTTTATGAAATACTGACCGAATACTGACAAATGGGTTCCCTCATCATGGGATCACTCAGTTTTCAAGTAAAAAGGGCCAATGATTGTATGGAAGGTTTGTGTGAAGTATTGACAGAATCAGTCCTCCCCAAGAGAGAAGACAGTCCTCCTTCGTGGACGTACAGATTAAATGACAAGCAAAGCAGTACCTGAGCAATGAGTGCTTTATTTCACATTACAGCGCATCCTGTCCCTGTCCCCCGGCAGTCCCTGGGTGGTAGAAGCTGTCAATCACGATGTAACTCCCATCAGTTCCAGCTGAACAGCAAGTGACATCACTCAAGCCATTGCGTTCACCTAGGTTCATTTGCACATTCTTCCATCAGCAAGCACTGAAATCAACACCCAGCAACCAACAGGATAGGGATGCAGGGCAAAACCTCAAATATAACCTCCCGCAGACCTATTCCCAAAGGTCGGCATATTTTTTTTTTGGCACAAAACAACACGATATTACAATTGACCACAAAATCAGGTGCTACTTAACATAATTTAATACTTTTAAACTTTTAATCATCTTGGTGCCAGAGGGTCTCCGCCGGCATCACCGTGTGGCGGCCCCCTTCCTGCGCCGGTGGCCGAGGGGGGCCTCCCCGTGCCTCCAGGGCAGGCGGCGGGACATCCGTCACTGGTCTTCGCTCTGCACCGGCAGGCGCTCCGGGGGCAGCACAGACTGCAGCCTCTGCCAGCGCTCCGGGGGCCACAGGATGTGCGTGGCAAGAGCATGCAGCAGCCCCAGGGAAACCTGCATCGGCGACAGAGAAGCAGAAAGAAGAGGTGACTTGGTCAGGGTCACCGTTCACATCTTCAAAACAGCCCTCAGTCCAGCACAGCTACTCCAGGGACAGAGGATGAGCAGGCCTGACAACGTGACAACATGGAAAAGGCCCCACCCTCACCTCCACGGGGAGCAGGTGCTCACATGGCCTCCCCTCTGCAGTGGGAGCCTGAATTCAGGGAGAAGCAAGAGCTGCTCCACAGCCACCAGCTCCCAGGGCCCGCTGTGCCCCCCGCCTGTAGCCCTTAAAGCAAGCATGTCCAACTGCCAGCTGGCAGCTAAAGGAGGCTAACTGGCAAGTTTGACATGCTTGCCTTAAATGGCTCGCTAGGGACACACCTGTGGTGTGGGAGAGAGCATGTACTCCTGCTTAAAGGGCCTCGGATGGGGCCTTCCACAGGTGTGCAGTGAGCCTGTCAAGCTATCTTTGCTGTGATCAGCTATTCTTAATGATCTTCAGAAGCTAATAAAACACTCACATTTAAGCACTCATTTACTGAGCACCAGTTATAAAGCAGAGAGGACACATCTATACTATTTTCAAATATTTTTTCTTATACAATTGAGCTCCATGGAGATTAACAAACATCATTTCTTTCATTGAAGTTACCTCATTGACTAGCATATTCATTCAAAAAAATCACATCGCCCAGACACTCTGGAAAGAGCTGAATGTCAGGGGAGAGACTTCAAAATGATAACCAGAAACGCCTTTTCTTTTTTAAAGAAAGCTTCACAACCACTTGGGATACAGACAATAAACCCAAAGGGGACCGAGAAGCCCATGGGCCCAGCAGAGAAAGTTTGCTTTGACTTGCTACGTTGAAAACCAAACCTATGTGAACCTTGAAATGTGGTACAGAAAATGGCTCCCTTCACCAAAATCACCAGGTATTTCCATGTGGCTGCATTCCTTTCTCGGAGGTGTGCGCTGTGTGTGTTTGTACACATATACCTTCTTCTCAGCCCAGTGAAAGTTGTTGGCTTTGTGGTGAATTTATCTTTCAACATGTATCTCCTAAGAAAAAGCCCCTGGCTTTTTGCATATTAGGATTGGATTCAGTTTGCTAATATTTTCATAAGGGTTTTTGTGTCCATGTTTTATAGGAATACTGACTTGTACTTTTCTTTCCTTGTGATGTCCTTGTCTAATTTTGATATCAAGTAATTGCCTTTTCATATGAGTTAAGTGTGCCTCCACCTCCTCCTCTCCGGGTAGTGTTGTATTTAAAAATAACAGCCAAGTCCAGAATTCAGTTGAGTCTATCAGCATAATTCCTGCTTCACTTCCCTTCGCATCCATCCCCCAGAGATGATCCTTTTCTTATGTGTTTCAAAACCTCAGTGTGTAGCTCATTCATGTTTTAAAATAGATCAATATACAAAATCAGTTTGCCTTGTAGAAATGATTTAGTGGCAGTATGGGCTATAAGAAGCAATGGGGAGCCGGGACCGGTTTGGCTCAATGGATAGAGCGTCGGCTTGGGGACTGAAAGGTCCCGGGTTCGATTCCGGTCAAGGGCATGTACCCTGGTTGCGGGCATATCCCCAGTAGGGGGTGTGCAAGAGGCAGCTGATCGATGACTCTCTCATTGATGTTTCTGACTCTCTCTCTCCCTTCCTCTCTGTATAAAATCAATAAAATATATTTTAAAAAAAAGAAGCAATGGGGAGCAAAAAAGTTCAAAGTATTATAAAAAACAACATTGCATTGAGAAAATAAAAACAAAACATAGGTCTTTGTGTGATGAACACTACTGCTCATATAATGATAAGGTTTCAAAATAAAACTGGTATTGAAAATTGTATTGAATTGTAACAGAATTAGAAATACTAATTATAATTCTAAATTATATAGAAAATGATAGTTTTCTAATTGCTTCTAAACCCTAAAAATGTGTTTTCCCCTAGAAAGATTTTAAGAGTAACTCCCTAAATTCTTAATATTCTCAATTGGTTTTAAAATTTATAAATAGAATAGTCAAATTAACTATATTAGCTAAATATGTATAGTGGGAAAATCACCGATTTAATGGGTTAATAACAACCTTCACATTGCTGAATAAGAAAAATCAAGCTTAAGATACTTCAGGTTGAATAATTACCCTCAGAAATATCACTTCTTCCTACAATTTCCAAGTTTTTTTTTTTTTACAATATCATCACACCTATTAAACAATGCAATTTTTCATTGCAATGTGTAAGTAAGTATAAGCTATTCTCAGTAATATCTAGAGTTCTCTTGTCCTAACTGCTTAGAGACTCTACCCTAACCAGCCTGACAGGTGGGGGTTTCAACACCAGGGAGAGTCACCACTGCAACAGTGTCCCTCAAACTGTCCGTCCCTGAACTTAGATTCTATAGTCACTTAACAATGAACTTTGACCCAGTTTGTTCAGTTTTTGTGTTGTAAATGTCAATGTCTATTCACTTAATTTATTTTTACTTGGTTTCGCTAGACTAAGAACAAATTGCCTTTTTCAAGGTAAAGATAAGGAAGGAAGACTATCAGGAAGAGTAAACTCGGAAGTCTCTTGGGGAAAAAATTAAGTACTGGTGAGACTCATCTTTAGGTTAATTAACCAGTTTGGAAGGTTACTGAGATTCTTCCCTCAGCTGTTTGTCTAACATTGTTCCTCTGCCCTGCTTTTCACACTTGGCTACTTACCACTGTTTACCCCAATTCCACAGCAGATGCCAAATCTGAGAAAACTTTCCAGTAAAGCATTTGCTTAGTAGATCAGACCTAATGTCTTCCTTTTGGGAAAAAAAAAGTTACCTTATTTGTAATCTAATGATAAGTCAGTAATCATTTTTACATACTATCAGCTCATTACTACTGTTCCCATCAGAAATAGCCATAGAGAACTAAAGGAGATTGACTCAGATAGACATTTTCTGCTCCTCTGTAGCAGAAAGCACGAGGGATTCACAGTAGAAACTAGTTTTTAAAAAACTTTAACTATTTCCATCCTGGCTGGTCCCTCACTAAATAATCAAGAGTTGGCTAAAACACCTCCAACACCTATCAAACATTATTTTCAATGGTTGGTTGGGTTGAAGGAATGAGAGTCAAAAGGCTTCTCCTAGGGTGTCAGGTGAATGAATAGTAAATGGCTGGTAATACCTTAGACTGAGAAAAATAACGATGGTGCTAGTTCCTGTAATTGGAAACCAATAATAAGAAGTATTTATAAAGAAACAGGGAATGGATGGTCACAACAGATATCTGGGAAGAAGAGAGACTTGAGAGTCATAAGAACGTGGGGAATACAAGCTGAAGATTTGGGTTGGTCTGTCCAAGAGACCACCTGGAATGGAAAAGAAGGCAGAGGAGGGGATCCTACCAGGCTGCAACACAGAACACCAACATTTGAAAGATGAGGAGGTATCTCAATAGATAAGATTCTATCTAAAATACAAAATATGCAGAGAGTAAGAGAATGGATGGAAGTTAGATTGTATGGAGAGAGGAGGTGGTTGAGATTTAAAAGGAAGGGGTGGGAGTAGTTCAATAGTGTGTAGGCCTGGGGGAATGAGAGGGAGGAAGTGTGGGAGCCTCAAGGCTAAGAAATTATGGTCCTGAATCCCCACCATCCAGTGCAAGAAAAGGGTCCAGAGTAAAAGTCTGACTGACCTTGAGGTGGCCCTATAGAGACATCAGTCAGCTCAGGGGCTTCCATGGAGGAGTGGCCTAGTGATTGACAGGCCTTCCAGATATACCTGTCTACTCACTGATTGTGCCCCAGAACACAAAGATGGGGGAAAGTCTGCCTCAGGAACCAGCGAGTTGAAAGCCCAGGAAACCAAATGACTATAAGGCTCAGCAAGTCAAAGCTGAGAGGTTCAAGACAAAGGTGACAGCTCTGAGTCCCACACACAGGACTAGGTCTGAGAGGAGGGACGAGGCTGGGCTGGTTGCACACTGGCCTGTGTGCCTCTGACTCAGACCTGGTGTTCTATGGATGAGACCACAGAATGCACATATGTGAAAGTGACATAGAGAGCACATGCTTATGGCACAAGGTATTTGAAGGCAATAAAAAAATAAGGTTTTCTTGCACTAATTTATCGACTCATAATACACAACTAAATGTCACAGTCAACAAACCAGGAATTTTGTTTTTAAATAGGTCATATAAAAGCTGTCAAGTTTTTACAAATGAAGTCAGTGCTCTGAAAAAAAAAAAAAAATCCAGCTTCTGCCCTAATCAAAAAGTCCAGTTTGGCTCAGTGGATAGAGCGTTGGCCTAGGGACTGAAGGTCCCAGGTTTGATTCCGGGCAAGGGCACATGTCCAGGCTTCAGGCTCGATCCCCAGTAGGGGACGTGCAGAAGGCAGCCAATCAATGATTCTCATCATTGATGTTTCTATCTCTCTCTCCCTCTCCCTTCCTCTCTGAAATCAATAAAAAATACATTTTTTAAATCCAGCTTCTTAAAATGCATCCTAACTGTTTTCTGCTCTGCAGTTGTACGCACTAAAGGGGTGCTTTTAAGTCAGGATGTTCATAAGCATAACCTTTTTGCATGTCTGTGAAAAGGAAGGTGCTTTCTTCTGCTCGAACATCTTTGAAGGAATGATGAAAGCAGCAGAGCCTCATTTGCATTGTCTAACGACCTTGGTGGGTGATGGTCTCAGAAAATAAACAGCTTTCTGAGAGAAGCCACCGCCGGTTTGGCCCGAGGACAGTACCAAGCGTCCACCGTGGGCTCCGGGCTCAGAAACCCAGTGCTCTGCTCCGCGCTGAAATCACTCCCCTCTCCTACGGCGCGCCCGCACCTCCAGCCAAAACAGCCAGTAAATCAGACCGGAGATGAAGTCTTTTGGGCCTAAACCAATTCAATACGTTCTTGCCTCTGACAGCGGGGAACTCCGGGGGTATTTTACATCTCAGGGCTGGGACTCTCAGAGTCACAGTTTCAGCTGAAATGCTGGGAACCCCTTCGTGTCTGGGAAACAGGCT